TTCCCTGGTACAAATACAAAGCACACAGCTGCCCTCAAGTCAGCAAACACCCACTGCAGACCCTAGAGCTGTTCTTTATGCACAGTTGGCGCCAACACAGGCTGCTGAGGGTCTGTGAGAGGAGACGGGTGGCAGAGGGTGGGGGCACAGCTGCGGAGGGACTGGGGGCGGTCCCGTGGCTCTAGTTTAGAACAGGGTCCCCTCAGCCACTCTGGAGTGCCGGCCCAGGGGTCCCAGTGTCCCTAGGGGGCAGCACCAAGGGGGCCAAGGATGCAGCCAGCCTGCAGAACCTGGGGACTGACCCTCAGCCCTGCTCCTGGCTGATGTATGATGATCAACTAGACTCCCTCCCTGGGGCACCCCTGTGAAGTCAGTGTCAGTGGTAAACACAGGTGTGGCTCTCACTGCCTGGGGCGCTGGCTTTCTGACCTCATCCCTGGAATTCTAGTCAGAAACAGGAGACAAGGTGTTCACTCAACACCCTGTTATGGCCAGATAATATACCAACAGCAGCTACACCGCTGGACAACATGGCAACAGGCAGCTACATGGCCATGTACATGCAAGCTAGTAACAATAGGGGAAGAATGCTCACAATATGGTTCCGAATAGGAAGAACCTAATGTGTTGTTAACCTAATATTTACCTTTTTAATGTTATATTTACTATATCGATGCATAGCAAAAGTTTGTAAGGAAATACACCAAAGTGTCAGCAGTGGTAACGTTCGAGGTGGGTCAGCGCTGGCATTCTTGTTAGCCACCCTACAGTGGGTGACTGGTGGGGACTAGTGGTCTGCCTCCCATGGCCTGGCTCACTACCCAGGGACCCGTTTGGTAAACATGGGAATTGCCAACCACTTTGGAGAGCTGGTGCCTCCGGCTGGAGCCTGCAGAGTACCTGCCCCCCTACCCCCGGGGCTGGCCAAGGAGAGCCCTCGCTGGACATTACGTGTAGCGTCACATGTCCTTTCTGGAGGCAGCTAAGGGCTAGGAGTGGCTTGTTCCCTTCTCAACTCCCACTGGCTGCATCTTGACAGCCTGCCCACTGGCAAGGACGCCTTCCTGTTTATCAGATGGAGCTGGGGATTGTCGCGGATTCCAGCCCATGGGCTCCTGGTAGCCACATCTCATTTCAGAAGGAAGAACCCCTTCCTTTGTCAGCTCCCCAACCTGATGCTCCTCTTCTGGGGTGAAAGGACGTGGTTGGCAGTGAGCCGAGGCCTTCCAAGGCTAAAGAAACCCTGCACACCTGAGTGGGTGTCGTGGGAAGGGCCTTCTCCATCCCGAGTCAGCAGCTAGCTGCTCTGCTTCGGACCTCCGGGCCCCCCTGTGTGAGCCCCAGGACTCGAGGGGGGCTGGTGAGAGGGGGCACCCTCCCGGCAGATTTGGGCCCCGTGGCTGTCTCCAGGCACCACATTCCCAGCTAAGGGCCAGACTGTGTCCACAGCAGCTAAGGGACCAGGGCTGAACCTGGTCCTCAGTCACCTCCCTGATAGTTTGTTGTGGAAGATACTCATGCACAAGCATGCACATGCTCACATGCACATGTTCACGTGCATGCATGCACACACTTCAGCAAACCTGCTCCACGGTGGTCCTCCCCAGCTGCCTGGCAGTGTCCTTGCCACCACACACACTGGTGGGCATGGCAGAGTCCATCCCCCGATGTCACTGAACTTCCCTGTGGGCTGAAAGAGCCTCACGGACACGCTGCCTTTTCTGCTCTGGACGTCTGAGAAGCAGAGGGGATGGTCTCAGAGGTGCAGGATGGAAAGCTGGACACGGGCAGGTGAGCACCAGGTGGAGACCAAACAGAGGTGCAATTCCAATACCCACCCTGCTCTCAGGCCCCAGGACAGGCCTGGTGCCCCTGTCCATGGGTCAATCATTGACCTCTGACCTGGTGCTTGCTCCAGGGTAGAGACAACACCTCTAATCCCCTTTTCCATCTGGGAGCATGATTGTGGTTCCAGCACCATGGCCTCCCTCTGACCCCCTTTAACCTGGACCTGCTGCTGGTCACCCCCGTTGTCAAACCTGCCAATGTGCAGCGTGTCTCTCCTGGCCTTTGTTTGCTACCCCCGATGTCACTCCCGCCAGGGATGAGGTATTTCATCCTCAGTTCGATCCTTTGCCCTGGCAAGATCCCGCACACTCTGGCCCTGCCCCATTGGCAGCGCAGCTATCCCCCGGACATAGCTGTTTCCCCCAGCCGCTTCTGCTCCCCTCCTACCTGCCCCCACTGCACCTGCTCACTGTCCCCCATTCACTCTATCCACTTCTCCCCCCAGGCATTGCCCTTGCTGAAAACACTTCCCCAAGACTCTCACCCCACCTCCTTTTCTTTGTTCACTCCACGTGTCACCCCAGATTAAAGGCCCCCATCTCCCGAGACCTGATCTATGCCCTTTGCTGTTGCAGCCTCAGTGCTCTGTGCTGACTTGCTCCTGGTCAGAGCTCCCGCATGCAGCCTGACTAGGGGTGAAACCCACAACCTGGGTATGTGCCCTGACTGGGAATCGAAACCGCGACCTTTAGGTGTATGGACGATGCTTCCACCGAGCCACACTTGCCAGAGCCCTGCTCATTTTCTTGCTGAGAATTTTTAGGGCTTTCTTTTGTCCCCAGTGCTCTAACTGTTCATGAAAATGACCGTGTGTCAGTTAGTTTTCATCCCTTTGCTAGGTCCTAGTGGCTCTTTTGCTCTGGAAATTTCTGTCCTTCCATTCCAGGAAATTTTCTTGATTAATTTTTATTTCCTCCTTCTGTTTTCTCTGTTCTCTCTGTCTGTGCTAAATATCATTAGGATCTTTTGACCTCAGACTGGCCTCTCATGACCTTTCCTGTTTCCTTTTCCTGGTCTTTCAATGTACTTTCAAGGAGATGCTTCAATAGCAGGATAGTACACAGCTAGGGAAATTCCTTGACCAGTGGAATAAGGGGAATTGAGACAAAATAATTAAACAAGGCAAAATGATCTGAGCAATTTACAGCCAGCTAACGAATCACAAGGTTTTTCCTTCCCTAACCAAGGACACTTACACATTCCAGACTGTCCAGGGACAGACCCTCCTCAGTCCTGGTCTCTCTTTGATGATGTTCTTTGAAAAAAAAAAAAATTAACCAGAAAATAACCTCTGACCCCTCCATATGCATAATTCGATGAATCAACATATTGAAGGACACACCTGGAAAGCTATTGAATATTCTGTTGATACCCTCCCCAGAGACCGCCCCTAGGATTCCTGCAGACCAAAGAAAGACAAGCCTCAGGACAAAGGACCCACAAGGGGGCTCTCCCTAGAGCACGACAGACAGACAGACAGGCAGACCACCTGGTATCTCTGCTCTCCACATTCTATGGGTCCCCACAAGACTTGCAAGGACAGATGAAATTAAGAGAATAAATCTCATTCGGTACATCATTATAAAGCTGATGAATATTCTATTGAGATTCTCCCATAAGCCCTCCCCTAAATGCCCAGCCTTTAAATGAAGGTCCCAGTGCTCCCTCTTCCTCCTTGGAGCACGCCTGTGCCTTCCCCCCGCCCCCCCAGCACGTATCCCCTAAACTCAAAGGGAACCCAGGAGGCTTGTAACCAGGGCAGCAATGGGCAGCAGCAGTTCATCCCAGGCAAACCCCCTGAACCTGACCCCAAGGCCCCCTTTTCTCTGACTTCTTCGTGAGCCCAGCCCAGGCTCATCTCCACACCTAGTGCCTCTCCTGTCATCCTAGGCCCTTCCTTGTTTCACTGTCTCCAGCTTTAACAAATGTTCTAGCAAACTCACCTGGACTCGTGTTGTGAAATTTTTCCTGCACAAAGTCAACAACCCACACACTGCTGGCCGGCCCTAGGCAGACCCACCAAGGGCCAGGTCCCCTTTCCTGTAACAGTACGATCACAGTCTGTTCTATTTTAATGAGCCCTACCTCAGAACTGTAAAGGTGGCAGAAATTCCCTTCGGCCTTGAATTTCTTTTTGCCTTTACTCTTGATTTAGAACTTTTAGGCTTACAGATGATAATCACAAGAATTACTTAACCTAGCTAGTGTTACTCAAGGCTGAGGAGATGACCACCCTCCTACGTACACTAATTCTGCATTGGCAGAGACCTAAGAAGTGGGTCAAATGGAATCAAACTCTCCAAAGTCAGCGAGTGGGAGGAGAAGGGATGTCCCTGTGGAGGAATGCCCTGATGACATGTGTGAGTAAGAATGATTTAAAATCTTGTCCGAAATAATACATTCAGGGATATTAATGACTATACCTAAAACTTTAGAGGAAAATAGAACCTTAGGCAAGATTTCAAAAATTCCTCTAGCCCATTTGCCTCCGCTGTTTGCATGTAGTGTATTACACGCATCAAAGACATCTGAATGCTCTTTAGTTTTCTCTTTCTCTGTTCCTTTCTTTCCAAAGTCAGATTGCTTGTCAAAAATTATTCCTCTCTGTGTTTCTCTTCAGCCAGATGACGACTTATTCTCCTGGCACTTTCAGTTTACAATAAACAGTGCTGAGGGAATGAGTCAAATTTGGTAGACTCGGAGCTGTTTTTCCGCCAGATCAACGGGGCCTTTGCTTTCGAACACGTGAGGTGCATTTCTAATGTCTAAATTTAAGGGCTAAACGTTACATTCAAGGAGGATTACTACATATTAGAAAAGACTATATTAGCACATCATTTTTCTGATTAAAAATATGTTCTTTATAAAAATTCTGAGTCTAAAAGCTCAAAGAAGAAGAATTAAAACCACACACAATTTCTCCACTCAAGGCAAGTACCCTGTAAGTGGCTATAAAACCAATTATAAGGGTTTGTATTTAGAGACGTCTAATATTTCTGCGTTTTCATTTTCCCTGGTGAAATTTTATGATTTGGAGTGCTATTGCTACAATTAATGACTTTAGAGACCGTAGCAAAATATGTAGAGTGTTTTGGTCTTAAACTAGATGTCAACTTGTATTTAAAAACAAACCACTTGTGTAAATTAGCATTTTATTTTATTGACATCATGTTTAGGTTGCATATTTTCCCTAATTCATGTTAACACTTAGGGCTCCAAATGAACCCTGAGGCATAAACCACAGCCATTTGACTGAATCTGCCTTTCTTAGGATAACAGAAACTCCAAATGCTGTTCTTGCTACTCCACAATTTTCTGTGGGGCCTCAGCAAGTTAATTATCTGCTTTGTGTGCTTAATCCTCTCCGAGGGCAGCCCTCCTGGCTTCTGCATGCGATGCCATTCTGTGAGGATGAATGTTTCTCTTTATGCTCTGTGTATAGAAATGGAAAAAGAGAATTAAAATGAGAGAACAGGGACCCTAAGTTTTGCATCAAACTAATAAATAGGGGTTCAATGTCTACGGAATTCAAAATGTCTGCCTCAGTTCTTTGGTACATTTTAGAGCATAATTTGAATTTTAAAATAAGATTCGAAGTCAATTTTCAAATGAAATTGATCGCCTTTCAATTATTTTCCTCACCTACTCAAACAAACAGGCTTAAAAATAACACCATCTGTGCCTATTAATTGTCATTTGGTGTGAGTATAAAGTGAATCTTAAAATAAACGGAATTATAGATTTCTTTTCAGAACATTTCATATTAATTCAGTCGAAGAACGTGTGTGGAGGTCTGCGATAGATTAATAAGACACAGCTTTTACTTAGAGTCTAGTAAAGGGGTCAGAAAAATAGAGAATTATAATGTATCAAAAAATTGTTTATTTAGTGGGACTATGTTCCAGACAGGGTCTCAGAGATGGGGCGTAGAGCAATGAACACAATGTATACACATTCTGCTTTCACGGAGCTTACATAGTAGTGGAGGCAGACAGGGGGCAGATAGATAATCGAATATTATACATGGCGTAGAACATGGTGATGGACTTTGTGGGGAAATATGATGGAATATAGGGAGCGTCATTGATAAAGCCACGTTTTTAGCGAAGTCCTGAAGGAAATAAAGGAGTAAGCCATGTGGATACCTGCAAGAACATTTCAGGGGAGGGGAGAGGCAAGGAGGCCCCCAAAGCTTGAGTGGAATGATCACGACGGAAATTGGTAGGAAACGCAGTGCGAGGGGTAATGGGGACGGTGCTAGGGGAGATCATTTAGGTCCTGTGAGCATCGTAAGTATTTTGGCTGTTAATTTAAAGTGACATAAAAGCCAACTGGATTGTTTCGAACAAAAGAGGGAGAGACCACCTGAGTTAACACAGGGACACAAGCTCAGAGGATGTTGCAACAATCCCAGGAGAGAGAATAGAAACTCTATCTACCAGAGGGGCAGCAGAGGGGTGAACAGATTCTAGATATGTTTTGAAGGAAAAGCTGACAAAACATGCTGACAGATTGGATGGAGGCTGTGAAAGAGTCAAATTATTATTATTATTTTAATGAAAATGTTCACATTTATTAAATACCCATGTTACGTTGTGTAAAAGACAGCCCTCATTCTGCTTTGGCTAGTGTTTGCTGCAGCAACCACCCTGAGTTGGTTTTCAGTTTTCTAAAGCCTACTTATTTACAGTTGTATGTGTTTCTTTGTCATCTGTTTTATCAACTATTTGTCCTGCGAAGGCTTCATCCTACATCAAACCTCTGTCATTTCAATGGAATGCAGTTGAGAACATAGGGATCTAGCTTTTGTCAGAAAAGACAATAGAATGTAAAATCTTTACTCATCCAGTTATCTCTGGAAAGCAAATAAACCAATTCTCTTTTTATTATTAGGTTATACCCAGCTTTATAATGAACATTGGGAGCCTTTTTTTACACATGTATTTCTACAGTTTTCACAGAGGAGAACATGTCCCAATGCACCCTCCTTGAATCTCATCACACAAAGCCATCACAACTGAAAATGCATCCAGTCTCAATGAGAGACAACCCAGCCACTGCAGAAAATCCTCTGAGACCCAAACTATTTTGTGCCTCTTGTCCTGTAAGTGAATGCTTTGCTCAGAGGAAACTTGCGTTACTATTTCATCGATCCATCAATAGGCATGGCAGGTCTGAGGGAACCTGTGTTCGTTTCTTTGGGCTTCCATAACAAGGTACCACAAACTGGGTGGCTTGAAACAACATACATTTACTGTCTCACAGTTCTGGAGGCTAAAAGTTCACAATTAAGATGTTGGCAGGGGCCAAGCTGCCTCTGAAGTTTTCTGGGAAGAATCTGTTTCTTGTCTTTTTCTTAGCTTCTGGTGTTGTCAGCAACCCTTGGTGTTCCTGGGCTATAAATGTACTTCTCCAATCTCTGCCCACGTTTTTATGTGGTGTTCTCTGTGTCTTGTGTTTTAGATTACGGGTTAATTATAAAAGGATACAACTCAGGAACAGACAGAGGGAAGGATGTATGTGGGAAGGGATGCGGAGTTTCCATGCCCTTCCCAGCCAGCCCGTTGTCCGTGGCACGTCCACATGTCCACCAACCTGGGAGCTCCAGGGTCAAGATTTGTGGTCCAAGTAATACCATTTTTTGTTCATGAAAAACCGAGTTGATAATTTTATACTGTGACATAGCCCATGTAGATGTCTGCCAAAAAGGATTTATTTTTCTCTCCAAGCCCTGATATAGATCACACTCCATATAACTCATAAGGACCCCTGTAAACTTCAATCAGAAAAAATAAATAAAAATGAGACACCCTTGTTCTATAATGATTATCAGGCTTCTATACTGTTTCTACCACAGATCCTACCAGATCTTTTAGATCAGTTTTCAAAGTACCAGATCATTCAACAGACCATGGTACAAACTTGGAAATGAAACAAGTGGAAGACCAACCCTATCCATTATATTTAATAAAGGTAATTCAAAACTTTGGTGGCTTCATTCAAATAGTGTAATGCCCTAGCTATTTTCTAGAGAGCTAGAAAGAGCCTTTCATTGCCTATACTAAGAGACAGTGCTTGCCTGGAGAGTATGATTTGGCAGATCTTTTTATGTAAACAAACCTTGCAAACCATGCAGGTATGACGAGTCCTACTAATTCTGTTTCAATCCGGCTCCAGCAGCTGCTTAAGGTTTTCCTCCCTGGAGCCACCGTTGGCTTGGAAGTTCATTTGGGCTTAAGCCTGCAGGGGGCGCTCTCTGTGAGCAGCAGTAGCTGGGGATGGTAGAGGCAGAAGAAGTGAGGCAGGGTTCACAATTGTTCCTGAATATCCCTGTTTTAAATATTCAAAAGTCATCACTAACTTTACTAGTTTTTAAACGAGGAAACTGAGACACATCATTGCTACCGCCACTGTCATTTCTGGGCTGTAGGAGATGTCACAATTCATTTAAGAAATACTTCCTGAGTCAAATGGAAGTTCAATTTTTAATTTTTTGAGGTAGCACCATATTGTTTTCCATAGTGGCTGCACCAGTCTGCATTCCCACCAGCAGTGTATTAGAGTCCCCTTTGACCCAGTGATCCTGCTTCTAGGAATATACCCTAAGAAGCCTGAAACACCGATCAGAAAGAATGTATGTACCCCCATGTTCATAGCAGCACTATTTACAATAGCTAAGATCTGGAAACAGCCCAAGTGTCCATCAGTAGACGAATGGATAAAAAAGCAGTGGTACATATACACAATGGAATACTATGCAGCTGTAAGAAAGAAAGATCTCTTATCCTTTGAGACGACATGGAGGGACCTGAAAAGTATTATCCTAAGTGAAATAAGCCAAGCAGAAAAAGACAAATACTACATGATCTCACTTAATATATGAAATATAATGAACATAACAATCTGAGGAATACGGTAGACCCAGAAACATGGAAGTAGGGCACAGACTGACATCCGTCAGAAGAGGGGGTGAGGGGGGGGGTGGGAAGGGATAAACCACAGAACTTGTATGCATCTATACATAACCAATAGACATGGATAACAAAGCCAGGGACAGGGCGGGTGTGGGTGCCAATGGGGTAAAAAAGGAGAAACATCTGTAACAAAAAATAAATAAAAAACATTAAAAAAAAAAAAAAAAAAAGAAATACTTCCTGAGTCCTTAAAATGATGCTTACTCTCCTGGGCTAAGGATTTAGTGGTAAGCAAGGGCTCCTCGATCATGGTGCTTACATTCTGTCAGGAGAGAGGCACAATAAACAAGTTCATATGTTAAATAATGTCCCAAAATGATAAGAACTGTGAAAGAAATAAGGGAATGTATGAGTTTCTTTGAGGTGGGATGAGTAGGATGGGGAGGCTTCTTTAGAATGTCAACAGAGAGGTAACATTTGACCTGAGACCTGAGGGATGAAAAATAAACTGTTATCTTAATAACATTTTATTTAAAGTTCAGTGTATATAAACCTGATGTTAGGTATTGGAAAAGGTGTACTAAGAGAAAAATATAAAGATGAAAAAGACATGGTCTTAGCTCTGGAACCTAATACATATCTAATGTGGAAGACAGACATATATATTAATAAACATAATTCACAATGGAAGTGTTACGAGAGAGGGGTGAATAAAATGCCAAAGTCGTACAGAAAGTGAGAGACAATTTTCATTCAAGTATTGGGGAAGATTTGAAAGATGAGTTTCACAGATGAGGTGACAGCTGAGCTTGGCAACAGTAATAACGGCTCATAGTCATCGTGTCCTGTCCATGCGTCGGCCACTCTGCTAATGGGATTTACAGGAACTCTTTCATTTAATCCTGCTAACCCCAAAAGGCAGGTGCTATTAATCATTTTCATTTCACAGTAAATATGTGAGCTGGAATTTGAGCTAAGTATGGAACTCATTCTTATACAGATGCTATGTGCCTAAATAAGATAAATCAGTTGGTTAGCTGTGTTAAATGTTATAACACCTCAAACTCAAGAATATGCAAGTTATTAAAATAAAGTGTATCACATGTATCTTGGTTTGTTGTTTTCTTTTCATTCTTTCTTACTTTTTTTTATACTATACTTCATTTTTTTTATGAAAGAAAAAGAAACCAATAAGGTGGTTTGCTGTTTTCTAAACAGAATTTTATTTTTGATCTATTTCACCTGGAATTGATATCAGAAAGTAAATGCATGTGTGTAGACAAAAAGAGAAAGTGACTCACATTTTAAATTCTTTCCTTGTAAACCCATAAAGCCACCAAAAGGTTTATAAGCCGGGTGTGGTGCTAGTGGATAGAATTGGGACTCTTACTGGAAACATAATGTGTAAGCTTAAGCTCCGGCAAATGCTTTCTCATGACCAGATGATGGTTTGTGTAATTTGTATTTGGAAGGAAATAACACCGGCATATATTATCTCTTTCTTTTCTTTTGTCTTGTATGAAACAGTAATATATTTGTGACCCTGGAGATGTAAGAATGTCACATTCTGATTTATTTATTATTTTCTTCCTGTGATAAATGAGAGATGACCCTGAAAATTTGCATTCTGCTATATTTTAGGTGGTGATGCTGAGTCAAAGATAAGACTATATCAAATTTGAAAACAAGACATTGAGTATTAATATTGTGAGGGTCTCTGGTTTAAGTTTACCTTAGTGCTGATTGTAATTTTTTCCAATCTTTTAAAATGTATGTTCTAGCATAAATAAATTGAGAAGCATAAACTGAATTACACTGTCTATTTGACTATCTCACTTTTGTAAGACTATCGTTTAAAGACACACTGGGGAGTTTGAGTTTGCTTGTTTCACTTTCTTCTGTCTTTAAAAGCTGAGGGGGAAAGACGACACACTGGTAGCAGTGTAGATTTGATCATCAGTCACCATTTAACCTAGACACTGCTATGGACCTAATTTGATAGTGTAATGAATGAAATTATGTACCTATATAATCGTTATATAATATACACATATTACATAGATTATCTATAGTACATATAATACACATGTACTATGTAATACACATGTAATACATATTAATATATATACACATAGAAGACATTAATATCATAATATATGATAGTATAATATACAATGATTTGGCAATCTCCTCCTTTAAATATCTGGGGAAAGATAGACAAAAAGTTGCACTGATTAGAATTGGAGAGACATATGGGTTAGCATTTGAATTATGTGGATGATCCAGAATTAACCTACAGATAGTTACTTGGTACTTTAGTTCCTGCTGCAGTGATATCTTCTACCCACATGTTCCTCGAGACACTTTCTAGTACCCAAAAGGTGGAGTCTAGGTCCCTTGCCTCAGAACCCGGGCACGCTATTGTTACTGCTTTAAGTCAAATAAGGTCATAAAAATATCATCTATATCTTAGTTATTTTTTTGGGACATTCACTATTGGAACAATAACTATGCTATGAAGAGGCCCAAGAGGGCCACAGAAGGACCCATTTGAAGAGGAACAGAGGCCTCTGGCCACAGCCACGGCTGAGCCCTCAGCTGACAGCCAGCACATGAGTGAGCCACATTGAGATCAAATCCTCCAACCCCCTGGCCACCTCAGCTGACACTATGTGGAGCAAAGGGGGACCACCTAGCTAAATACTGCCCAGATTGCAGATTTGTGAGCAAAATAGTTGACTGTTGTTGTTTTAAGTCATTATGTTTGGGTATGGTTTGTTATGAGGCAATAGAGAACCGAAGTAGTGACCCAACAGTCATGAGACAGTATAGGGCCAACACTGGACTCCACCTTGACTGAAAGAACTCCATCTCAGAGGGCTGCCAATGACTCCTTGCTTTCAGTAAAATTCCATAGTTGAAATTAACTAACCATATCCTTAAAGGAAAGAATGTACAACAGTGACATCCTTAAAAAAAATGTTAATTAATTAATTAATTAATTATTAATTTTTTTTCTTTATTGATTTTTAGAGGGAGAGGAAGAGAGAGATAGAAACATCGATGAGAGAGAACATCGATTGGCTGCCTCTTGCATGTCCCCAACTGGGGATCAGACCCACAACTTAGGCATGTGCTCTGAATCGAACTGGCAGTCTCTTGGTGCATGGGTCAATGCTCAACCACTGAGCCACACTGGCCAGGCAATTTATTATTATTTTTAATTAATTTATTTTTATTACAGATGTTTCTCCTTTTCCCCCCATTGATACCCTCCTCTCTGCTCCCGGCCCCCTCTTCACAGTATTGTAATCTATGTCCATTGGTTATGCATATATACATAAAAGTTCTTTGGTTTATCTCCCTGTCCCCAACCTGCCCCAAATATCATCCTTTCTTAACATCATGTTCTGCGAAATAGTTGTTGGTCAACTAAATGGTAAGTAGAATATTTGTTCAAGCATTATTTTACAGCCCTTTGAGTGGTCCACTGACCATGGAAAACATCTTTGACTATTCCCAAATCAACTGCTGCCAGATGACAGTCCTGGGGAAACTGACATCATCCTTATTCCCAAGCCCTACCCTCACCCCCAAGGTCCCTATATAAGCTACCCACAAGAACTCCTTGGGGAGCTCCCCTGTGCACAAGCTCTTCGCTATAAACTCCATCTGCTTGATCTTATTCTGAGTTCTCTGCTCATTTCCATGATATTGAGACTCAAGAACATGGCATTCAAGGTCTGATAACAGTTATACTAGGACATGATTTTAGAAGAAAGCTCTGTTCTTAGTTCCCGAAAGTGGTAGCTAGTGAACATCAAGGAATTAACTATTTCCTATGCAGATAATATTAATGTAATCCCAATATTTTGACAGTATTGAACTGTTAAAGAATTTGTAGACATATTTTAAAGTCTCCACACCTATAGAGAAGACAACAGAAGCTACAGAAAAAGATAAATAATCTAAATTGAGATGAATATATGAGAAAAGAAGACTTAGAAAAAAATTCCAAGGAACCCTGGTATTTGAGGGCTGGGAGAAGGTATGAAGTCAGTGAAGAAACTCTCTGGGAAGTAACAGAATGAGCAGAGTTTGTAGTAACAAAGAAGACAATGGAAGAGAGTGTTTTAAGGATGAGTCTCTGTCTGAGTTGATGATGTTTTATTTCTTAGAATTAAGAACTAAAAATAAAGATGTTAAAAGAAAATGTTATATATTACTAGGATCAAGACAAAGTCAAATTAGTTATACATATGAGGGAGATTAAAGAGTAGCATATATACCAGCCTTTTAAAAGTTAAGTAGAGAAATAAGCTATATGTATAATGGCACAGCAGCAGGACAGAGGAGAATATCAGTAGATTTGCAAATATCTGATAGCTCTAAGACACTTAAGAATTCTCTTACTCGAGCAGTTAGAATGCAATAGTTAGAATGACAGAGAGCAAGACAGGGATAGAAAGATGGATGTGTACATAAAATGCATATAAATAAACAGCAATTGGACCCAAGAGAGCTCATGTCATCAAAGATCAATAGAATAGGAATAAAGATTTTCAGAGAATTGAAGAGCTGTGGAAGATCACTTAATGGAAGATCTTTGAAGACATGGTAGCTTTCTGGTTGAGTAGCTAAAGAATTATTTAAAATCTGAAAAGAATTGAAATCTAAAATTTTACAAAGACATAACCTACACTATCCAAAGGCAGTATGCATTAATGAAAAATGCATTATTTCTAGAAACTATTTTAAGTATTTTAGTATCAAATGTTTATTAATATTTCTATTGTTAATGAACCATTAGGTTTGAGCAGTACTGGATTAATTATTTGCTTTTTTCCCCATAGGAAAGTATTATATTATCTAAACTTTCTATGTAATCATTCAATTATTTATTTATTTATTTATTTATTTATTTTTATCCTTACCCGAGGACATTTTTGCATTTGTCTTCAGGTTGAGCGGGAAGGAGAGAGAGGAGGAGGAGAGAGAGAGAGAGAGAGAGAGAGAGAGAGAGAGCGAAAGAGAGAGAGAGAGAAACATCGATGTGAGAAAGACGCATCAACTGGTTGCCACCCACATGACCCCAACCGGGGGCCAGGGACAAACTGCAACCAAGGTACATGTCCTTAGTGGGAACTGAACCCAGGACTTTCTGGTCCTCAGGCCAATGCTCTAACTGCTGAGCCAAACTGGCCAGGGCTCAACCCTTTATTTTAATTGTGCATATATAAGTTTTTACAACTTTTCTAGCTAGCACTAATCTTAACTTTCTATTCATTTTTAACTGTGAAAAAAATCAGAGATTATTAATTTTTCCAACTCTAACATTTTCCCATGTATTCTATTCTTTTTCTAGATGTCGGAACTGGACTATGATCCCCTGACTTGTCTGGCCAAGGAAACTCCAAATTCATTGGCTGCCTTTCAAAAGATCAACAGATGTTCCTGCTAACTTTGTTTGTTAATGTCCTGAGTCAAAGGCATCCAATAGAGACAGAATTAACAACATACTAGCTTTCTAAACCACAGCTTAATGCAAAAGAGAAAGTAAACAATTCCCAAGAATATGAAGAAACAAAAGTCTTTTAAGTAAAGTCATATCCATTTATTTTCTTTAAAGTTAAATTCTAACATTTAAAGATATACACTACCACATCTGTAGCTACCAAAGTAACAATTCTCAATTTACATTGGCCTTTATAATACATCAATAAACCTGGAAACCATATTGCTTGAATGATTCAGATGCTAGCCTAATTATTATATTGACTAAGCCATCTTGCTTTGATTGATTTTAAGCCATTTCTTTCTAGATAGCATGCATTTTCTTTTGAAACAATGGTAAGAGAAACCTTAGACTATTTGCTGTTAAATCGAAAAGACCTTCAGTGTTTGCTAAATTATATTATATTTTATAGTAGATGGTAGGTCATCTAGTTTTTAAAAATATTTATTCATCTTATTTATGAAACACACAGATTATTAGAATTCATATTTTAATATTAGAAGCAGTAATATTACTAAAAAAAATTAAAAGTAACAGAAGGATGCCAAAGAACAATATATATGGACCCACATCTTTCTGAGTAGCTGGAAAATATAAGATATTAATTACTTAGGGCTTTGTATCACCTCAAAGTTCTCTCTTATATGTAACTACAACTCAGTGATTCATAACTTTATTTTATTTATTTATTTATTTATTTATTTATTTAATCCTCACCTGAGGACATTTCTGCATTTATCTTCAAAAAGAGTGTGAGGGAGAGTGGGAGGAAGAGAGAGAGAGAGAGACATCGATGTGAGAGAGACACATTGAGTTGCTGCCACCCACACAACCCCAACCGAGGCCAGAGATAAATTGCAACCGAGGTACGTGTCTTTAGTGGGAACCGAACCGGGGACTCTCTGGTCCACAGGCCTACACTCTAACCACTGAGCCAAACCGGCCAGGGTGGTGATTCATAACTTTAGATTTTTTTTTTTTTTTTTTTTTTTTTTTTATCCTCACCCGAGGACATTTTTCCATTTTTTTGTTCAGATAGAGCGGGAGGGAGAGAGAGAGAGAGAGAAACATCAACGTGAAGGGACACATCGAGTGGCTGCCACCCGCACGACCAACCAGGGCCGGGGACAAACTGCAACCGAGGTACGTGCCCTTAGCGGGAACCGAACCCGAGTCTCTCTGTACCACAGGCCGACGCTTTAACCGCTGAGCCAAACCGGCCAGGGCTTAACTTTAGATCTTTATTGGGGGTTAATATAGCCACCCACTACAATTTCTTATAGTGATCCCACCTTTTCACTTAAAATAGTCTTTTAAAAATATAAATGCAGAACATCGTTGCTAAAAGATATAACCTACTAGACATAATTTTATACTTTATGAGTGAGTTAAACTTTATAATCTACTATTGCTTTAATGATTCAAGTATCAAAAAAAATTTTAAGGTCATTACTTTCAACATTAATTCTACTTGTACAAAATGACCTATGGAGTAGTTCTCATCTCTTTCAAATAACTATTGTGTTAATCTACGTGCTCTGAGAAGCAGATGCCAAGAAAGCATTACTTAGGGAAAGATTTTATAGCTGTGCTATAGAAAGTGGGGAGACAGTCCCCACTGAAGGCTGCTATACGGATCAGACCTGGTGCAAATCTAGTATTAAGTGAAGGAGCGAGAAAGGAAAGATTGGGAAGAAAGGAGTTTAGGTGGGAACTTTGTTATCAGGATAAGGTTCAACAAAGTAATTGGTGAGTCCTTCAGCCAAAGTCGGCTGACAAAGCAATCCTTTGTCCCCCTAGGCTGATCTGCTTTACTATTTTCTCTGCACATACTCACCTGTGAGATGCATGTCCTTGGTTCAAACTCCGAGGAAAGTTCCAAGTCCAATAGCTGGGGACCTCACTTTCCCTGTAGTGGGAAATGTATCAGGCACATTCTCATGGCTGCCACAACCTCCAAGTCAGCATCTCCAAACCTGGCTTCTTTCCTGATTTCTTCTCCTCAGTTGTGAACTCACTCTGGGGGGCTGCCTACTGACAGCTCAAAGTCAGTGATTCAGTCTATTCCAAAATGGACATGTTAGTTGTCCTAACTCCTACCACCATTCTCCCAAGTACCAAGGGTAATCTTTACTTCTCTCCTTTGCCTGCCAGATCCAAATACCTAATGAATTCTATCTATTCTATCTCTACCCCATTTTTTTCTTTTTGCCCCTTCCACAGCCTCCCAATGTTACTGCTCTAGTTTTGACCTCATTACCTTTATGATCCATTGTCTGCACTGTCAGCCTCCCAGCAGGTGCCCTCATCTCCCAGCTCATCTCTCTAATCCCCTTAAAGTGCTGCAGCCAGATTAATCTTCTTGAAGGGCAGCCTTGCTTCTATTATTTCTGCTCTTAAAACAAACAAAAACAAAATAAAACAAAACAGAACCCTTCAATGGCTCCCAATTTCTTACAAAATGAAATTCTATATTCATAGCTTGTCATTCAAGGGCCTCTATGATTAAACTTCTATCAAGCTTTTCAACTTCACCTCCGAAAATTCCTTTTATACACTTTGAAAGCTGCCTGTTACAGCAGGACCACAATTATGCTCTGAACTTTCCTAACATCATACAATTTCCTCGTAGAGTTGCTTTTATTTTCTCAGTCTTGTCTGTGTTGCCTCCAACCACCCATCACAACCCAGATCAAATTTGACTTCCTCCATGGATCTTTCCCCAAGTATTGGAAGTACTCTATTTGCTGACATTTGCTGGAATATAAAATATACCTCTAGTTTATAATAAAATTTGTGTTGTGGGAGATGGGGGTGAGCACACATTATTAAAAATCATTGATATAGTTTTTGTAAAGAAAAATATATTATTTGGTTCATGCGAATACTGAATACTATAAAGAAGACACAAATTCTGGGTATACAGAAGAACTCTTAACCTTTAACCCTGAAAAATGAAAATTACAAACTTCAAAAGACATGTTTTGGCATCATGGAATACTGATATATAGGAGGCAGTCATACAGTGAATCTACTGGTAATTGGAGATCACATAACACAGGATAACAAATGCCACTACAGTATTTCAGAGAGTACTCTAGCTGAACACCAAGCCACAATATAAAGTAAACATGGCTGGGTTATACTACAGATAACTGAAATACATACATTCAGGAAAAATATTTTTTTAAGAACCTGAACAAAATATAAAGTACAAAAACAAAATCTGAATATATTTCAATGTCATGTTTATACATGGAGTGTTTGTTTAATATTAGTACCTAGCAAGAAACAGTAAATAAAACTAAATACATTAGCTTGTGTATGATAGTATGGCAATACCTTTGTTTCATTTAGCTATGGTTTATGTTAGTAATATATTTAAATATGAAACGCTTGTGGAATAACTAAATCACTCTATTGGATCAGCCCCTGGGCTGTGGTTTTTACAATTTTGCAAGAAAGATACCAATAGGATGGAAATGCAAAAATATTCTCACAGTTACGTGCACGTGGATGAATGAAAGACATGAAATCGACTGAATAGGCGATCAGAAGAAATAGAAGGAAAGGTAGAAGTTGATCCAGGAGGCAAGGGAGAAGAGGGGGTTGGAGGCAGAGAGAGGGCCGTGTGGGAAAGGCATCACAGTGGGAGACATTTGTTCTGTGTGCGAGGAACTGTGCGAAAGGAAGCTGAACTAGTAGAAGCCAAACCATGAGAACTTCACATGTCGCGCTCAAGAGTTTGGACTTCACCCTTTAGGCAATGGGAAATCATTCCAGCAAATGAAAAGATAAGACTTGTATTTTAGAAAGACCAGTCTGGCAGAGTAAAGCCTGGCTGGGGGTGTGGGGGCGGGACAGCTATTGTGAAAGACCAGGGGCAGGGAGAGGCTGTCCCAGTGCCTCAGCATGATGATGGCTTCTTGGAGTTTGCCCTAAAGCCAGAGCAAGGGGAAACCAGCAAAGTGGACGGATCTGATAAATACCTGGAAACTTTAAGCAACAGGCCCAGAGAGGGGGCCGTCTAGGAAAATCTCAGCTATTTCCGTGGTGGTGCCATCCGTGACCGCAGTGCTTTAGGAAAGATAAGGAATTCTGTTCCGGAGCCTGAGAGGTGGGAAAATAACAGGGCTCATAAAGCAAATTGAAGAATGTGATTCAAGAGATAGCTGGAGAACCAGGAAAGGGTTGTTTATAACACTGTACTTTGTGCTTTATCTTTCCTTAGTTGGGCCCCTCATTCTTCTCTCCCAATCATTTTCTCGGGCTTCCAGAATCTCTAAATATTTACACTCCACGTGGAAGAGTCCTTCCAGGATCCTCTATTCTTTTCCCATCTATTAAGGCCCCTTGATCTGGTATATGCTCCATGTATTTTACTGATCCTACAGAGCCCATCCCCGTCCCCTCTGCTGCAAACACAAAATTTAGAAAAAGACCTAGGAGGCCACAAGGTCATTCTCATAAGAGACTATTTTTCAAATATATAATGAGAACATCTTGGACATTTCAGAACCCTCAAAGAGTAACACGTTTCTTATTTATTTATTTATTTATTTATTTATTTATTTATTTATTTATTGTATTAAATTATAAACTAGCCTTTTTGGTGTGAGCATCAGTATAAAATTTTATAAACTTGACTTTTTAACTTTCTAGATCCCCAACAGAATCTCCGGATATCTTAACAAGCAAAAGATGCTATGCCCCATAAAAACAGCAACAACCACAAATTTCTACCATTCTAGAGCAGTATATTATATTTTAGAACAATAATTTCTAAGGGCAGGACTGAGGTTTGGATAGCAAAGGTAGTTGATATTTAAAAGTTAAAATAAACATTCTTGTTTAACTGAATTTTGAATTGATTCTCCATTCAAAAGCAACTGTGCCTGCTTTAAAAAATATACAAACTGTGATAAACCCATAATGTATAATAGCTCACTGTTTCAAAATTTTCCCTTTATTTATAAAGTATGAATTTATATCTATGGGGGTCATAAGTAAATTTTTTACATGAGTAAAAATTTGGGACATCTCACTTCATCCTGTCCCTTACCAGTATAACCTTAAAAAAGTACCTCAAGGTACCACATTTGAACCTTGTTGTTCAAACGTGCATCTAATGAAGAAGAACTCTTTTCTTTCCAAGGTGCCTTTCTGTAGTGCTCAAATATCAGTGGTAACCCTGCTGACAGCAGCACATAGCTCACTGAATTTTTCTTCTCTGTTAAAGAGTAAATTTTAAATGCACTTGTTTCATTCATAATACCTGGGGTCCTGAAATGGTCAAGATCACTTACAAATTTTTGAAACCAAGGGGCTAACATGGCCCACAAATATGTGTGTGACAATCATTTATTTTTAACAGTGATATGCAATCACCTCTGGGGCCATACAACAATCTCGAATAAGTAACAACTTGATGCATAACTTCTCTTAAAGCAAAAGGTGAGAAGCTTTAAACTATTAGGAGAATATCTAAATTTCGGATAATACATATTTACTTTGGAATGTATCCCAAAACCCTGGAACTGATACTCAAATCAACTATGACACATGGGCCAGAATAGAAGCATTTGAATTCTCAACACAGAGATCCTCTTATATAGATGACAAACATTCACAGCGGCCAAGTTTTATGATTCAGTCAGGAGACAATTTATTGAAATCTTTTCCATGATCTCAGTATCCTTGGATTTGAGTAAGTGCAAGGCTGGGAAATTGAAGAAACAATAAGTTAAGGAATCATTTAAAATATTAAATTCTACCTTTTAAAAACAAGGATAGCCCTGGCTGGTTTGGCTCAGCAGTTAGAGCATTGGCCTGTGGACCAAAGGATCTTGGGTTTCAGGCAATTGCACATACCTGGGTTGCATGTTCTGGTCCTGGTTGGGGTCGTGTGGGAGGAAACCAATTGATGTATCTCTCTCATATCAATGTTCCTCTCTCTCTCTCCCTCCCTTGCACTCTAAAAATCAATGGAAAAATATCCTCGAGTGAGGATTAACACACACACACCACACACACACACACGCACACACACACACAAAGCCAGGATAATAACTTGAATTCTTTGTGCTCTCATTCTAAGACATGTAGGTAAAGTTTACAGACTTTTATTCCCTTTGTTTTGGTTCCAGGATAATTATAGGTGTCCAAAGAATAGCTGACTCTGCAGTGTTTCAACAGACTACTGCGTAGTCCTTTTCTTTGTTCTAGAGGGGGACCTTTTTTTTTTTTTTTTGCAAATATTACTGATCACTTTGGCAATGATGGAAGAAATTCTGTATGTCAGGGGCACATTGAAAAAGGCTTACAAATCTTTATCATGTCATATGTTCCAAGCACTATCCTGGGTAATTCCACTTTTACTTAATTGAAATGACTCAATGTATGTCAAATCCAAATATGAAAGTTGTATTCGTTTTCTCTCACTGTGTAATGAATGGAACAAATGACCACAAATTTAGCTGCTTAGAAAACCACCCGTTTATTACCTCATTGTTCTGTAGGTCAGAAATCTGGGCACGATGCAACTAAGACCTCTGCTTGGAGTCTCACATAGCTCAGATCAGGGTGTCAGCCAGGCTGTGTTCTCATCTGGACTTCAGGGTCCTTTTGCGAGCAGAAGCCAATTCCTGTGGCAATAGAAAGGAGACTCACATGTCTGTGTCAGGGCGGGCTGCTCTCAGTTTGCAGAGACCTCCTGTATTCTTCGCCACACGGGCCCTCCATCTTCTAAGCCAGCATGGAGAATCTTCTTTATGTTGAAGACTCCTTACACTTCAAAATGATCAAGGAAGGTCCTAGTCCATTTTATAGGCTCACCTGATACAGTTAAGACACCTAGGATAATCTTTCTGTCTTAAAGTCAACTGATTTGAGATCTTCATTGTGTGTGAAAAATCCTTGCCCAGCAGCGCCTAAAGCACTGTTTGACTCAACCAGGAGAACGTGTGTACAGCAGGGGATGGGGAATCTGGGGCACAGTCTTAGATTTCTGCATATCAGTCTCACATTCTGGAACTAAAGTGTTAACTAAGCTTTGTTATCATTTGGAAGTCTGACTGAGGAAGTATGTGCTTCCGAGCTGATTCTGGTATTGACAACATTTATTTCCTCGTGGCTGTATGACTGAGGACCTGTGGTTTTTGTTGGCTATTGGGAGGAAGTTACCATTGAACCCTCTCCACAGGCACTTCATAACATGGCTGTTGGCTTCTTGAAGGCCTATAAGAGA